TGTGTGTGTGAGAGAGAGAGATAGTGTGTGTGTGTGTGTGTGTGTGTGATAATGAATAGAACAGCTTAACGAATAGGCAACATAATAATAGCTTCGGGGTCCAAAGGAGATTTGGGCAATGGGAAGGTTTTGGCATACCACCAGGTCCACAATCACAGTGCCTAATGCTATTTCAGAGCAACAGAATCCTATTGTTGAATCCGACCAATACTGGGCAGAATATAATCCTACTAAAGTGGCAGAACGAACTCCATCACAAAATGCACAGAGTCTGAGACCAGCCAAATTCATCAAATGCAACTGAATCTATTTATTCAAATCAATTAACTTAAGTTGTCAGTGAAGGGCTCCTGGAAAAGCCTCAAAGCTAATTCACAAATGTGTTTGGTTGACACAGAAGCAGAGAGCCATTATCCAGCGGCGTACTTTTGCCCATTGAGACCCCAATATATGCTGACATTTCAGAAGGCACACACATTCATCATATCATGTCGCTTTGAAAGACGAAAACTCTGAGGCATTAACATAATATTTGCATAATTCTTATTTGAATAATCACCTAATAAAACAATGAATTGCTTCAAGGTGAAGATTAAGCCTCTTAAGAGCAACAACAGAAACTACGGGTCCTTCAAAGAGATGCTTTGTCTGTACATAAATATGAATGAACAATGAAAAACAACAGATGTTGAATAAAAACTTGGATTGACATTAATTAGGAGCTGTACCTGAGGCACCCGGTAGCATTGCGGAGCACCTGTGAGGAATGCAGGTGCAGCTTGTGGTCGTCCTGGTGGGGCGAGGTGTCCCAGCCCGAGTGAGGAATAATGACTGTGTTGGTCAGCACTGCCAGAGCATCCTGAATAATGGGCATCTTCAGAGCATCACATGAGGACAAGTTCCACAGCACACCTGTACACAAGAACATCAGCTATGAACCAAAACATGTCTGAGCCAGTGAAGAATACACACACTATTATTTATACAAAATACAATTTCCCTTCTTCACCTTGAGTTTTTGTTGTGCACAAAAATATATAATTAAAAACACTGATTGCAGCAGGCTACAAACATACCTTTGAATATTGCATGAGGTCTTGGTCAAGAGCCCTCAAAGGAAATACTTTCTAAAGTTTCACTAGTGTGTCCTCCTCATCAGCTCTTAGTATGAACATTAGAGGGTGTGATCCAAGCCACATCACAATCAAGAATGAACTGTGAACTGCTAGAAAGTAACATGCAGCTGAACTGTGGCTCATTTTGCATACTATTAAAAATAATACGTTATAAATATTTCATCTCTTTCATGAGACCCCTACAGCTCTGATTCAGTGAGCAAGGGAGCATTTTTGCACATTCCTCCTCCCGGTTGCTAGCAGAGTATAAAACTCTGTCCCAAGTAATTGCATCTTATCTTGTTTGTTAAATATCACAGACTTCCAGTCCTAAACGGTATGGTGTATCCCACATTATACAGTAGTATGATTACAATAGTATGTCATTTGTTTTAAGAAATGATTTTTTTATTCATCAATGATGTGTTAAATTTATCAACAAAAAAACCCCACTTATAATGGTACATAATTATAAATATGTAACATTTTAAATACTTGCTGCTCTTTTGAACTTTCATTAAAAGAGGAAAAAAACTATACCGCATGGCTTCCACAAAAATATTAAGCAGCACAACTGTTTTCAATATTGATTATAATAAGAACGTTTTCTTGAGCACCAAATCAACTTATTAGAATGATTTCTGAAAGATCATGTGACACTGAAGACTGGAGTAATTGCAGCTGAAAATTTAGCTTTGCCATCACAGGAATAAATTACAGTTTAAAAATATATATTAAAATAGTTATTTTAAAATGAAAACAGTTATTTTAATTTGCAATATTATTTCACAATCTTACCATTTTTACTGTATTTTTGATCAAACAAGAGACTTTCAAAAACTGACTCCAAACTTTTGAACAGTAGTGTGTGTTTGTTCCAAAATGTTCACTACTGTGTTGCAACACAAACAGCTTAGTATGAACACTAGAGAATAACTGCTAGATATTAGCATGTGGCAACACAATGATTGTGTCTTCATACGCATACTATCCACCCAAAATAGTACACAAAATTAGGACCAGTGAAACCAAAATCCTAAAAATAGTATGCCAAATGGAAGTGTGCATCCATAGTTTTGTGGCCCAAAAGAGGAGGAGTTTGTGACAGGCTTTTTTCAGTTACAGAAAAATTGGAAAACAGGAAAACAGCCTATGGATGCTTGCCTGTCATTTGTTTGTACCCTCCACTGATTCGAGTTTGTCGTGTGGCATCAACCACAATGTTCATGTGGGACACTATAATCGCCTTTTTACGAGTCAGTAATGGCAAGAAACATTTTCCTTACTAATGTTTCTCGATTCAGCTTTTGGGGTTCTATTTTTTGGGTGTCTCACTGCCATTTAGGTCATGGAGGACTTTACTAATGAGACGATGTGCTAAATCCAAGAGCTCAAGGTTTGGCTGGTTAGCGTTGTCATGTTAGCCCCTGCTGGTAGATGCTGTAACTACACCATCTGGTTCTAAAAAGCACATTTCACCATTGACATCCATTCAGAATTGGCTATGCATAGCCAAGCAACACATATATCGCTTACATTTTTCATTACATTTAATTTCAAAAGCATGAAATAGACTCGCTGCCGTATACAAGGGAGCGCTTTTGTAGGTCCTTCCTCTGTGCTGCTAGCTCTGCTCCAGCCAATTTAATCTTATCTTATCCTATCCAATCTTGTTTGTTAAACATCAAAGACTTCCTGTTTTTATGCAACCACCTGCAGAACGAAGAGTTCTGAGCTCAAATTCAGGCCCTAGCCGGCACGACAGGCCCATGTCTGGCTTCAGCAATCGGCAGGTGACTGGGGTCTGCGGAGATGTTGCGTGAGGGGGGTTGGTTATGGACTGACGAGAGGACTCTTTGTCTTCTATTTTGAACCACTCTATAATTTACATGTTAATTATCTTTGAAAAAGCATAAATGGTTTCTCACCACTTTCCAAATGTTTCAGCTAAACTGAATACAAGCACAAAGACATGGAGCTGTAATAAGCAAGTGCCACTCAGATTTGCTCTGCCTATATTCAATTTGAAACATTTTAGATGTTTCTCCGAGCTCTGGATTCAGGAGGATGGTGATTTTTCAATTGATGGACATTTAGATTGCTCACCAGGCTGAAACACAAGGGAGCCGCAGCATCCTATTGAAGCGTCTCCCAACAATTCAGCATCTGACATTTATGAAATGCCTCAAAAAGCAAATTGCTGCCCAATTTTTTCTGACATGTCTCAGGAACAGTCTTTGTACCAGAAATATTTCTATAGGGGATTTAGAAGAGTCTTTGTCTTTTGTCAACGCGTCAAGACTCATTATACACAAGTCCCTAAAGAGGCTACGCCAAACACTGGTATTATCCTTAAGTATTATAGCCCTAACCAATTAGGAGATCATTAACAAATCATTTAATTGGTAGTGGGGTCTACAATAACAAGCGGATTATTCTAGAAGAGCTGATTAACAAATTGTGCCCAATTATACAGAAGCCAGAGATAGGGACAGAAAGGTCACATACAATGTATTTGTATGCTGAACTTGCAACAAATGGTGGTGAGAGAGGAAATAAAAATACAGCACATTTAAAGATGGGGGACAGGCTCTGCATCCTAATCAGCCACGACACGTTTTGTTCACATTTTGTTTTGTTCATTTCTACTGTAAAATCTCACTGGTCCAACATTCCTTTCAATATAACTACATACTATAAGTGAAATATTATGCCCTTCAAGTGGAGTCAGAAATATTGTAATTACTAGGTATGAGCACATAAACCACAAAGCGAAGTCATATTTACAAGTGGGAAACTTTCAATTCTAGACGATGCACAAAGTTGTGGCGTTGGAAGAGTGACAATTTGAAGAATGGCGGAAACACTGATCTACAATATAGACAATATAATATAATATAATAAAATAGAATAGACTTAAAATCTATATATAGAGATCTGTGAGCAGAAAGCAAGTCTATTGCAAATGGTGTAAAGTTAATCTGGAAGAACTTTCATTGTAACAAACATTTAGTTAAATAATAGACATAAATGAATAATTTTCATAATTATGAATTTAGATGTCGTTATTTTGGTTTATTGTTCACAATATAATTATTTTAATTTATTTATTAATTTTTTTTTAATGTTTCTGACTTAAATGCATTGCGTATCATAATAACGCATGTCAGACTCAGAGGTATAAGTTTACCAGGTGCATTTGAAGGCAGAGTAAATTCTGCAGCATTTTCTCTTTCAATGTGGACAAACAAATTACTTCTCACCAGTATCCCGTCACGCAGGGAGAACAAAGGAGAAGGAAGGAAAATGAATGAGAAATAAATGTGCTTAATGTGTCCTGAGCACCTGTAAGCAGTTCTCTGATCTCCACGTCTGTCGTCTTGCGCAGGAGCCGCACAAGTGCAGGGATCCCACCGCAGTTCTTCAGGGCGATCTTGTTGTCGTCATTGGCCTTGCCATAAACCAGGTTCCTGAGTGCACCACAGGCACTCCTGTGCACATCTGTCATACGGTGATCCAGCAAGTCCACCAGCATCTGGATCCCACCCTGCCTCCGTATCTGATATTTATCAGGAATAAATTACATTTTGAAAAATGTTCAACTAAAAAAAGTTATTTTACAATTTGTAATAATATCTCACAGTATTACTGTTTTTTTTCTGTATTTTGGATCAAATAAATGCAGCCTTGGTGAGCATAAGAGATTCTTTTAAAAACATAAAAAAATCAACAAGATCAGCAAGTCTCTTACGCTCATTTCCATGTTGTTCATGTTGGCATCTGACTAGTTTCTCCATTTTGTTAAAAGTTCATAAGCCTATATATTTTGCTATCTTAATTTTGCGTGATTATATGGTTAGCTGCACTTTATTTATTTTTTTCGTTTAGCAGCTTTGGGTCACCAGTTAAAAACCACTGAGCTAGAATCATGACACCATACCAGCATTAACTAGCTTGAATCAGCATGGAAATTCAAATAACCTGAAATCATTATACCCACTGCAAGGATTTATGAGAGCATAGTCTATGTAGAAGATGCATAATGTATCTGATGTTGGTATGCAGGTGTTACCTCTGATTTGGTCTTGTTGTCTCCAAAGCACAAGTGCTGGAGGTAGGCGGCAGCGTTGGACTGTACCGATGGAAACTGGTGCTGCAGCATTTGGATGACCTCCGGCAGTTCAGGATCCCTCCAGCCAAATTCCCTGAAGATGCACATATACACACAAAAGTGAATATGGAGAAGCTTTGACATAAATACTATAACATTAAAAAAAGCATGTTTGTGAAGGTGTCTATAATAATAGCATATTTATTTTAGATGGTGTGTAAACATTTTTAAAATCATTCTCCTCTCTGAAGCTCTGAATGTTTTTCTTCTCAATTAATTAAACTGAATGCAACATACTCTAACTTTCTGCCAACATCTGTGATCTCCCACTGGTAAATGCACTACTTTTCTCCTTTGAAAATAGTGAAGTAATACTAATTACAGTAACACAGAAATTAATGCCACTAAACAATGAAAACAAATTAACCTCAAAAAAATTATGCATGACAGTGCTGGTAAGGAGAAAAAAATGAAAAAATAAATAACACATAAGAAACAAAGGTTTCACAGCCATCACACATCAGCGATAATTTTTAAATTCTGATGTTGATGCTTTCTGCAGAAGTACGTTAGATCTCAGCTAATGTATACAGACAATAACATCCTCCCAGAAATGTCGGCCTTATCACGGGTATCATTGACAGCTGTGCTTTTGCCTGGAGCAGTCCTAAGGTGCCTGGAAACCCACAGGAGAAGATCTGCATTTCCTAAACACCTGGGTCCTGCGACTCTATCATTAGAATATCAGTACCAACAGTGATTTAAGAAGCAGCAAAAGCAAATTCAACATACTATCCTGAAGTCTGCTATGAAAACACACATTACCACATGTAGGCAAGAAAGGAGAACATTGTGTTTGACATTCATGTCTTTTTCTCCCTATCTTTTTCAGAGGGGGATTGATTCAATTAACAAGACCTAATATGAAAGAAATGGGGTGGTAATGATAGACAGAGAGCACAAGGAAGGGAAAACAAGAAATGAAAAATAAGACATGTGGAGGCAGAGAGAAAATGCGATGCTGGCAAAAAAACAACATGATGGACAAATATCTCTGGGTAAGAGGCACCATGGGAAACATCTACTGTAGCATGTCCTATTTCTCTCTAGCACAACCAGTAAACCTGAGAGGGCAATTGTGGTCATGAAAAGAAGAACGGGATCCATTGGGAAAAGGTCAAAATGGAGATAATCCTGAAAGATGGGTACTTAGTTTTTCACCTCCTGTATCTTTGTTGCTTTTTATCATTGTTTAACCTTGAGAAATGAATGCTTGTTTAAAACACATCTCACTAAGCTGCTATGTTGAGGGCTTTGTTCACAAAATAGGGAACCAAATCCATTACAGATGGTAGGAAATGCCCAGCAGCCCACAAAACGTCAGGGCAAACTCTCCAATGCATTAACAATGACAGGAGGCTGTAATAAATCACAGGAGTGGACTACTTGGTAATGTTTGCGTTAATCGGTAATTAGAGTGTAACACAAAAATGCCTATAAAATGGATGGAGTTTATATGGTAATCAATGTGGCACTGTCACATAAGCAAACTCTAGGTTAATTGGTGTAAATACATTTTTGACAGAATATCTAAAATTACTCTGTTAATTAACTAGTGCACCAAAATGAAATTATTCACTCAATGTTTACCTTGTGTAATTATAGACGGCAGTAAAGCATAAGGCATTGCCCCAATGCTTTACCAGGTTCTGAGTTCATCAAGAAGAGACGTTTGTGTTTAGCAAAGCAAAAACTTAGCTGCTTCGACAATAACATATTTCAATCATTAACATAATTCAACCATAAGGAACCAACTATCTTGTGAATGTGACACAACAGCTCAATAAACAATACAGTAAGTTAATGCTGTGTAACTTACATATTAGAGACACATTGTTATTAATAGTTTTGCTCCGTCAATCAAAATAGCTCCAAGTGAAGCCACTGCAGAATTAGTCTCTGAGCAACACATAGTTTGCTTTTAGAATGAATCACTGTTTTGAATGAATTGTTTAAAGGGGTCATTTGATGTTGCTAAAAAGAACATTATTTTGTGTATTTGGTGTAATGAAATGTGCTTATGCG